AGGGCCACATACTGTACTAATTGCTTCTAATAAATTACATATTTCAGGAGGGACATCATGATTTTAATCATTTATTCTGCATGTTGTTTCCTTTGGAGAGAAGAACAAGCAGGCGCTAAACAAGCCGAGCATCTGAAATTCATGGCAGAAGCTGAAAAGAGCTCATTTAATATCAACCATCATTGTAAACACTAGAATTATGCATGTATCAAATCCCTGGGTCTGAACACTTTGGGAACAGGCAGTGAGTCTTAGCTGTTTTAATAAGTCAAACCAAAATGATGTCTTTGAATGTTCCTTAGATTTATAACAACTCAAATTCAATCCCATTTCAAATGTTGTAGCTGGAGCCTAGCTCAAGAAAAAAATCTTTGTGTCTACGCAAAGAAAAATACACTGAGGGGAATTTAAAGGATGTATTTCCCAAAAGGCTGAGACAGAAAATGGTCAAAAGTACCTTTCACCTCTATGGGGTAAGACTTTAATTATGATTTGATGGCAGCTAATTGCAAAGGTTGTCCAGTTAACACAGAAAGTTGCGGGAACTTTCTTTAGAGACTGCTGAAATCAGTAGGATCTTCATGATGATCTAAGTAGCCTCTTGCTGGGTGAACTAGGGTGAGTGAAGGTTTCCTATTTTCCTGACCTCTAGCACACCCATACCAGTAGATTCACTGTTAATGAAATCCTCAAACCACTCGGGAATGTGCACTTCCTTCACAGGGGGAGACCTTGATGGTATTTAAATAGCTGGTAATATTAATAGCAATAGCTTGTAGATAATGTGGAGACTTGGGAGCTCTAGGGAGATATGCAGGTTTGGGAACAGCTCAGGCTCTCTTCTGTTTGCCTTTGTAAATCCTGCTTCCTGTCACTTTAGTCTGCATTTCCTTTCAAGGATGAGCTGAGATATTAAACAAAATGTGACTATCTAAGTAAAAGGAAACCTGCCTCAGTACAAAATACGCCTTGGGATCAAAAGCTGTAGCTCTGAGACTCAAATGTACACTTTTGATTTTCAGGTGGCAATGAGATGCTAAGGAAACACCATTACTTGGCCTAAGCGCAATCTGCTTCTGCCATGGCAGTCTATGCTGCCTTCCACTTGGTCCATCTCTACCTGGGAGGGTTATCATTCCATTTTAAACTTCTCTGGTGAGCGTGAGGTGAAAAGGGTGAGAATCCAGCAAGACTTCCAGGGGCTCCTCTAACCCACTGATCAGAATAATGAAGATATCTCTAAAGATGCTATTTGTGGATGGATGGATGGATGGATGGATGGATGGATGGATGGATGGATGGATGGATGGATGAATGGGTGGATGGATGTTTGTGCTAAATTGGATGGATGGATGGATGGATGTTTGTGCTAAATCAGTTGGACTGATACAGAAGAAAAGGACCAAAGGATTATTCTTGGTTTTGTCATACAGAATGAGAAACAGGCCTTGTACAATGACAACTGACTGGAAAAGATAGCCCTTAGTTAAAACTGGTGACTATTCAGATTGAAAAACCTCTCTCTGGCTGTTTTTATGCTTTTTCATAGGGAGCTTCAAGCCAAGCTCCGCACAAAAAGAAGAAAAGCTTAAAATGAAAGAAAGTGATGGAGCTCAAAGTTCAGCATATTAGAGCATTGGAAGTTACAGAAGGATGAGAAAATTTGAAGTTCAGACATAAAAGACCAAGAGTAACGGAAGAAAAAGTGACACAAATGGGGGAAACAGAGGTGATGAATCCTCAGTTAAGAGCGCTGCTATACCTAGAAAAGATGTGACAAGCAGTAAAACACAACATACTAATTTGGTTTACTCTTCAGATACTGACTTTTGCCACTATTGCATGCTACATAATAGCGTGGAATTAACAAAACCTAGTGTAGCAGGGTTAGAAAAAGAAATATTTTTGAAAGCAAAATGGAAGACCTCTTTGACATCCATTAGGTTTGGTAATATAACACTAACAAGAACACTGCACTGAGCTGTTATCTGGTTTTCTGTCTGATTCGCTCTCCAGATTACCACTTAAATCAATAGTTCTCACATTGATTTTTCCAGCACACTGTATTCCAGTAAAAAGAACAATGCTCTGAGATGAGTCAGCTATTTGCTTGTCTGTAGGGACTCTGGTGCATTTTTGTTTAGGAAAATAAAAGCGGGAGCCAAAGTACACATAAATATATAGTAATAAGAACCTGCCTGTTGCACCATAACGTGACACGGGCTCTGCAGACACATGGGTTTGCTACAGCATGCTGCAGCAACTACAGACCTGCCTCAAGCTAGAGCAAGCCATTGTAAGGAGAGAACCAAAATACTTTGGGGGCAATCTTAGACAGATAATAAAATCGCTATGGCGGAGGGGAAAAATACGCCCACATTTGATCAAGAAGCTGATCTCCATTTATTTACCATGACATATAGAACCTTGGCAGTACTGCATTTTCATTTATTTCATATATTTTCATGCATTTGCATAGTCCATGTAACATGTACTACAATCCTGGTACTGTAACTAGTCATCACTTTTGTCTGATGTTGCTTTTACTCCTTTTAACCATGTTAACAATTTCTTAATTTGTTTGTAATCACAACACAAGAGGTTCATTTATTCTTGCTTTCTCTCTCTTGCTTAGCTATGAATTCATGAAACCAGCAACATTTCTCACACAGCGTTGTAATTATTTCAAGAAACTTGCAAGGAGTGCAGCAAAAATGTTTTCAGCTCAAAGAAGAAATCATAATCTCAGGAGCTACTTGGAGATTTGGTGTCAGGCTGAAATATGACTATACTGACAGTTTCTCTTGGCCACCTCTCTGCTGCAGGTACAGAGCAGTGCCGTGGCCCCCAGTTTCTCCCACAGCTTTCCGCACACAGCTGCTGTCTCAGCTTCCAGGCTCTGCATCCACCTGCAAGTTTGGCTTATTTCTGAGACCTTTGAGTTAGCAGCAGCTAAAAACTACTAAAATGTCAGAAAAAAAAATAATGAATGAAAACGTTTGCCCCTCTTTTCTACTACGAGTTCTGGTTTACGGAGATTTATTGTCTCCATATTTGAATGCAAATTACCAGATTACAGTCTATCCCACCTTTCATTAATAACAGACCCAGAGGATATAGAGCAGCCAAAAAGGGTGTAAAGGAGAGAGGTTCAGCATTCAGAATCTCATTCTTTACTGTATATTGAATATCATATTGTGAATATACTGAGGGAGAAACATCCTGCAGGAAACAAACATACGCAAGGCTGTGGGAATAGTGTGCCGTTATGAAGCCTGTTATTCTGAAAATACTGCTTATATTGTTATCTTCTACTGCTATAAAACTAGAATAATTTAAATCATTACAAAACCTCTGTATTTCTCAGTAATGCTTTCTTAGCACTCGTTGCTATGTTTGCCTCCTAATCTCTTGGCGTAAACAAAATAACATTCATGTTTTCATAACAATAAAGAGGAAGAGATAATGAATATTCTACTTCCAATCATTTTTAAATAAAAAGGACAGTATTTATCATGGTTACAGTATCGTAAATCTGGACCAATCCAGCTTGTTTACAGGAAGGGTTATCAATTTCCAGGTATCCACCTGTGAATCTGGGAATACTGTGTAGTTTAGGGTGTTGAGGTATAGAGGAGAGGCACTTTGTGCTGCGCTTTGTTCTTTTCAACGAGATACTTCAGGTTAGTTGTGATTTATCTTGAATCACATACTTGCATACTGTTCCCTGGGAATTAAGTTGATGTGGAAGTAAACTGTGCTAGGTACTTGCCCAGGTCTCGGCAGGGTATTAAAGGTAACACTGAGTAGGCTGCAGTCCTTGAGAGGAGATATAAGGACCTGTTTTACAGGGCACTTCATTTATGCAGTGTTTAGTTTAGGCTTGTGCAGCAAAATAATACAGCAGTGAGATCAATAGATATTATTGCTACCCATTCAAAGCTTCTTCATTCCACAAATTGTTATAATTGACTGTAATGAGATTATTTCTAATATCCAGTACACAAACTTTATCCCATTTTGACAATCAGATAGTAAGTATGTGGCACCTGAGTGATGTTTTAACTGTTGCTAGGACAAGCACTAGAGAACTGAAGCTACAGGATGAGATACACAGAACTGGCTGATACAGCAAATTACTTAATGACAGCAGCAGTATTTTTCACACAACAAATCAGATATCCTACTTTTTTTTTTTTTCCCCAGGTAATAAATTGTGTTAAGGAGAAGGAATGGAAATTAAAGATATTCGTTATCATGAGACACCTGGCAGGATAGCCTTTGGTCTGCAGCCTGAAAAATAATGCTGCGCTGACAAGAGGCAGTTGGAAGTGCTGGTGAATCACTATAGATCTTGCTTCACTGCAAGCACCAGCAAGTCAAACTCTGTTGAGAGTCATTTGAGAAACAAGGCCTAAATGTATTTGCTCTGATCGCAACTCATATTCCTGCTGCTTTGACGTTCATTCCTGAAAAGAGTGTAAGCCCCTTAAACATTTACCAAGATTTCTCATTTCTCCTGATCTACTCAGACCACAGTTTTGGTTATTCTTCTTCCTACAGCTGCCTGGAAAGAGAGGCAGAATATATGGGAGTCATTTAAAGAAGAAACAGACAGCTGTATGGGGCCAGAATTGATAAAACTTATGTATTCAATGAGTTCTCTTCAAAGTTTGGCATTGAACTATCTGTTACATTGAACTAATGAAAGTATCAAGATTTTGTAAAAAAAGAAGTCTGCTTTTTTTTAAAAAAAATTGCCAGTGCCGCAGGATTCTGTGGTGAAGACAGATGATCAGTACCAGCAGACAGTCAACGCCAGAGAGTCACTCTGAAGTGTGAAAACAGCGATGGTTAAGCATGACCCCTCCGCAGACACTGCTCACAGGCAGAGCCCTTGCTCAACCCCCCAGTGTTTTCCCTGCCAGAGGGGACCTGGAGCTGCGGCGGGTGCAAGGGTTCCACACCCTGCCAGGGCAGAGACAGTACCTGCACAGTACCTTTGAGGGCAGGCGGGGTGAAGACGCTCTGCTTCCTTTGCTTGGGAGATGCGCTCTGGGACTGGGGAGGGACAAAACAGAGACAGGCAGTAAGAGACGGGCACAGGGAGAGTTTTCTGGTCATGGCAGCTCCAGGTCTGGCCCCACAGATGCTTTCAGAGGGTGCACACACCAATCTGAGAAGTTTCTAAGAACATGATATTGCATAAATCTGATGCCAGCTCCTGGGCTTTCATGAACAGAGGGAAAACTAAGATTAGATGGACAATATATATGTTTAATGGACAACATACATGTTTAACGGACAACTTTTGTGGCTCCCAGGCAAAACGGACCCAGTACTGCTGAAAATTACCCTTGTCTCTAAAAAAATATTGTTAAGCATAAAATTAAGATAGCCTGTGCTTTTAACAGTCTATGTAACTGGTTCTCATAAGGCAAACAAATTTTTATATATATTAAAATAGTTGTAAGATTTACATCAACTGATATTCCTGTTAAATACAGTGTAATGAATGTATATGTGTACATATATGTAGATATATAGAACATGTATAGGTAAGGTTGTACTGAAATTATTAATATATTAATATCCAGATTTTTGCATAAATAAATGGAAGATCCCTCCCGATTCACCTTTTCCATATATTCTAAAATAATAATTTCAGCAACCAGTCACTCAGCCTTTAACTGGGCCTGATTTAAGTCATATATTTAGAAACAGATAAACTTTTTATGGCCCCCAAATCACATCTATGTACAAATATTTCAAAATAATGGTAGCCAAATTACACATAGAGTAACAGTAGTATAATTATACCGATGTATAATTAAGCAAAAACTAACTGGAATACATTCCAGTGTTAAAGCAGAGCAACTTTTGCAAAATGAAAGCCGTTAAATTGGTGTCCATTATATATGAACATGAAAATATGTCCAGATACAAAGAATAATGACACTACATAAGGTCACACACATAAGTAGCATCATATCACATTCCTAAGAAAAAGGTTTAAAGAAGTTATATTTGGTCATAACGATGTTGCCTTTTCACAAATATTTGCTGAAAATGCCTCTTTCCCTGAGTACTTTGACTTGTATATAGTCTGTGAATTTTAATAAGATCTATTTCTTCAAGGAACATTTAAGACATCTCTTAAGAAAACTACTTTCGTGCAGTATGGCCAATCCTATTACCCTACCTTATCACAATGGATGGAATAATAACATTTATAAATAAAATATTGTCTTCTTTTGAAAGAGAAAGCTATTTATAAACACTGTGGGATAGGTTGTTGATCCTCGCCCCAGTAAATCTTTATGAGTCTGTATTTGAGTCCAAATTTGAACCAATCAATACCTCCTACTGCTATTTAAAGCACTGCCTGCTTCTTCTCTGAGCAATGGGTGAAGGAGAAAAAGATCAGGGAATTGCAGGAGCTGTGCAAGGGGAGGTTGGAAAACAAGATTGGAGGAGCTGACTTGTAACTATTCTGCAAACAACATCAATGCACTGACTGTTGTGGGCTTGGCAAATGACGGGCAGAGGAGTTTGCAATGTTTTTGTAGACCCGAAGCGATGCTGGATGAGGTGAGCTGGCAGGGTCACCTTGGGCCAGGTTTGCTATGATTTGCCAGGGCATGGCATCAAGGCAGAGGCGACACTTGCCTTTCCCAGTTCCCTGCTACAGGGAGAAGGGAGAGCCGTCAGAGCTGAGACACAACACAGCTTTACACAGCCCTGGTTTGAAAGCAGTGAAAGGCTGTGTTACAGAAGATGGCATGACAACGTAAAGAAAAACATTAACATTAAGGACGTAAAGAAAAACATTAAGGACGAAGCAGCGAGTTTCAAAGGGGTTTTAACCATAGACCTATTTTAAAAATAAACATGTTTGAAAAAAAAAATTCACTTACCTCTGCCTGTGACATGTTTGTTCTCTTCTCATCTTTTTCTAGAGGATGAAAACATACGGAACGAGAAATGTTAGTACAAAAGCGTTTCTGAGTGCTAACCCCCGCAACTCTACCCTGAACCCTACAGCATTATTGTAAATAAGAAATTACCCTTCTGATTTACAGCTTTTCTTTCTCTTTTTTGTGTCTGAGAAAACCAGAGGCCCTGATTAGCATTTAGACATAAGCACTGTGTCTAAAGCACTTAACTCCCATTTTTTTGTCTGTGAATTAAGAGCAAGCAGTGGAGTGCCTTTAGCAGCAGGTCCTTTGGCCAGGCTCACAGCAGGGCTCTGCGCTCATCAGTGGCTGTTGGGAGAGGTGGCTGCTTTGCTGGGGGACCGCACTTGCTTCTATAGTCAGAAAAGGCTTTGTTGCCAAATGGTGTGCAGCAAACCCACAGAGGGCTCTTATTGAACCTAAATAATAACAGCCACCTCAGCTCAGATAAGTTATTAACATGCCAATACTGGTACGGAAGAGCACCTAACAGTAATATGTAAAATTAGCAACCCAAAGTTTAACAAAGACTAATTTTTAATCTTAAAAGTTTCATGACATTACTGGACTGATTTTTTTTTCCTGGAACTGCTTAAATTTTTGCCTTAATTTGTTCTGGACTATAGGCAAGACAGAAATGGGCAATACTAGAGATTTCTAATGACAATAAGTGTCTCTAAGAACCTGTCTGAACAACTGAGTACAATTGTATAAAGCAGAGGAGGGTCAAGGATCTTCCTACCCGTTGCACTTAACCAGTTTTCACATAAGATTATTTTTCTACTGTTATCTCGATGCAGTTAATGACCAGAAAGTGCCTGTCTTCTGATGATGATTTCCCAAATATTTGATGAAGATCATGTTGGACCTTCGATGTGCAGTAGTTTGGAGCTTTAAAATAAAATGCCATTAAAAACAGACATCAATCCCTCACTGTAGAAACACACCTTCTAAAATTTTCCACCTGCAGATATCACTGGGCAATTTCACTGACGTGTGACAGATCTGCAAATGTAGGTCTGAGGGAAGAATTAGGTCAAGGCAATATCACTTTATCTAACTTTTCTAGACATTGGCTGCTTGTGGTGTGCTGTATGTAAGGGGATGAGCCCGTCCAGACAGATTGTATTTGTATTCTTTATCATTGTATCTGTGCATCCTGCAAACAGTAATTGACTTACTGGATTTTTTCAATGTATATATTTCCCATTACCTTTATATGCAAGACATTCAAATGATTTATACTAGCGATTAAAAAGTGTAGCGGAAAACAGTGCTGGTTACTGTTTTCCGTGGTCCCACAGATACAGAATTAGACAGGACAATCAGGAAGCCAGTTCCTGCCATTAACATTTGTATGAACTTTGGTAAGGTGACTAATCTCTTCCTTGACTTCCTTACCTGTAAATAAGCATAGCAGTGCTTATTTAAGTATAGCGGTGCCTATTTGCCTTTGTAAAGCACTTTGGGGTATGAAGATAAGCTGGCTAAATGAGTGATTATTTATGTGCTTGTAATCTCTCTTATTAGTTGTATAACAGACAGACGCAGACTTATGATTCAACATTGCATTTATTATTTTAGGATCCTGGATTTAGTTTGGAGACTGAAATGTGAATAAATCGGGAACTGTCAACAGAGAACAATGATGTCCCGTTCCTTCCTGAAACTCTAAAGTTGCCCAGATTAAAAATATATTTTGTAAAGCCAAGCTGAGGCTTGCATAAGGAACAGAACTTCAATCAGTAGCTTCATCAGGTTTCAGGTCTTGTTCCTAAGGATGTACACAACTCTAACCCTTTGGGCTTGCACACTTAGTGCTCTTAGTGGGGTGACACTAAACCTACAAGAACCAGAAAGTTTCCAGCCCTGCCTTCCACCCAGCAGCACTTATATGACAGGCAACTCTGGGAACAAGAACTGGTCTGTATGGAGTTAGAGAAACCATTCATATCCACAGGGCAACTAGTGCCAGTAAATAACAGCAGACAATGTGGAAATTTAAGAATGACTTACAAAATCACACAAACAAACAGTTTTTCAAATCCAGTAAACAGAGATCAGAAATGAACCTAAAGGAGCAAAAGAGACAAACTTGAGGACATGAAGTTTCAAGTGAGTTGTGAGACGAAGGGAAAGGGAAAGCTGGCTGGAGATGCAGTTTGGCCAATAGTACGTTTTGGCATGCATTTATTTTTGAGGACAAAAAGACCGTTTATTTTTGACAGCAATTTTGATGGATAAGACTCAAGGGAGAGTATACATTTTTAAGAAGAGGTGACAAGGAATAGGAATGAGAGAAGCTGAGGTCCCTGACTGCCATAGACTGAGGCAGAGGATAAGAAGTAAAATATTCTTTCTGTAGAGGAGAAGGAAAAGATGAAAAGCAATGGGGTCATGGAAGGGAGATAGAAGTGCTTGTGTGTAGTTAAGGTAATAATGAAAGACAGGGGCAGTGGCATTGTAACAAAAGGTAAAGGGGAATTTAGTGGTGACGGAGAGCAGAGCTGGAGTGCAGTGTGGGCTGGAGCTCAGTCAAGAACTCTCTGCCTGGAGAAATACTTAAAGCCATATTGGTCTAAGTGAAGGATTACATTAATACTTGTGTGAACATTCTTCCTTGGACAAATAGTGTTTTTTCCAGTGTAAATTATAATGCTTTGAAAGCAATCTAAATAAATTAATGAAAGCATATTCTTATAACAGTCTTACTGAGAAAATGCCCTTGTGACAGTCAATGCATGTACAAATCTATGTTCTCACTACAACAGGTCAGTTCTCCCATAAGGAGATTCCACACAGAAAATCTTCATGACAGCAAAACTTACGATGACAATGGAAGTTACAAGGTAAAAAAAAAATTAAAAAATTTAAAAAATAATCTCTTAGTTATTGCAAATCAGACATATCCATCTACAGAAGTCAAACAAGCCATGCATTTCCCACCCTTGAATCCCTCTCAAATCCATTGACAATTATAAACTGAATTTCTTTACTGAACTCTGACCATAAATTCTTCTTGAGAGGTGTCAGGAAATAATCTGAAACTAAATCACAAATATCAGACTGTGATATCAATTGATTCACAGGGGAGAATGAATTCCCTGGTTTCCCAACATGCTTCAATTCCCATTGACTACTGTGCAGTCAAGATCCTGCTCAGAAAAAATCATAGTTATACAGAATGAGAAGTTTCCTTATCAGGTTTATAACTAGGCAGATATATTGCAGAGAACATGAATTCAAATGATCAACTATTTCTCTTCTACATGAAACAAAACCCAGGCTTTCAGTAACAACTTCTCCCTACAAGTCTGCTCTCTTTTTGGGGCCAGGAGGAAAGACGACTTTTTAATGATGCTCCATATTCTTTCCCTCACAGAACATAATACAACTGCACTATATTCCTAATCTGAATTTCACCAATCTAAATTATTCTTGGCTGCTCTAATTAGCTAACAAGGATCTAACTGCTCATGTAATGTCTTGACAGTTTTTTGTTTTAAATTGGTATAACAGAAATCATATGAAATACTGCTAACAGATCTGTAGACACCCAAGTTGCTGGAAAGTTGCAGTACCTAAAAATAAGATTGGAGTGTTTTTGTAGCTGTGCTGAGGAAAAAGCAATTGAGGACTTCCCCCTGTCCTGGGTGAATAACGTGTCACGCTAGTGTGACCCTTACCTCATGTAGACTGGACTAGCACCTGGCAAATAAACCGACTATCAGGCTTTAGTCAGTGTTCTCAGGAAGAGAAATGGTCCATGTTCATCGAAGAAAAGTTCAGTCTAAAGGATATTTCCACCAGTCCAGATACATACACAGATTCTCTGAAGTGAACCCCTAGTTCTTCAAGAAAAGACACTTCTGAAAGTCCAGCTACCTGCACAGACCCCCTTTCAGCATTAGAGCTCTATGCTTTAATCTTTATCCAGTTTAAAATCTCATCCACTCACAGGAAAACCTGCAAGATTTGGCCTGGCTATAATTGCTGAAATATGGAGAAAGAAACGCCAAGGGATTTTGCTCTTGTTAGCAGAGCTCTTCTGAATGTTTATTAGCACATGCACCCAGCCAAGCTGATGTAATAAGCTGAGCTACCCCAAAGGTGTCATTATATGAGGTCAGAAAAGAGCAGAGTGGAAGGAGGCTGGTTATAGCCAGGATGAGAAGCACTTGCTGTTGATCGCTTTTTCCATGAATCTCCACTGCTGTGCAAATGGCATGACCATGCTGGGGGAAGCCTTGTGGTCTTTTTAAAGTAAGATCAAAATTTATCCGCCTCTCTTCTCCCACTGAATAATGTTAATGCTCTTGGAGCAGCTATGCAGGGCAAGAGTTGACCTGTTTTAAAAGACTTGGCCTCTGATATCACCCATGGGCTCTGTAGTGGAGTCATCCGGAAAAGGCTTATCTCATCCAGCTAAGTACCCTGCTTTCTTTCCCCTTGGCAAGAGCAAATAAAAGCCTTTTCCGTAGGGTTTCAGTCAGGCACTGGAGGATTAGAACAGGTCAGAGAGGCCAGCTGTTACACAAAACAAACTCGGTAAGAGGCCGGTATAATTGTTGGAGAAAGCTTCTTGTAGACAGTTTGGAATTTTCCTTGGGAAACCAAAACTGAGGGGTGTCAGGTAAAAATCACAGGGATAGGGATTTGGATTTGGTTGGGTTTTGTTGTCTAAATTTTCCCTTAAAAATAATACACATGATACTCTTTCACTGATACGCATGATACTCTTTCTCAGATAGTGGAAATAGCCCATGAGCTGCATGCCTCTAACAGGTTTTAGTTAAAGAATGATTTAAATAAGAATGGTTTGAATCTGAAAGAAATTAGCCCGAAGAGAAACTTCGAGGACACAATGTCACTGTCATTCTAGAGCCTCCTTATAATCCTGCCCCCACCTCTGTATAAACAGTGCCACTGAAGAGAGCAGTAGGAGCATGGATCCAACCTTTCACATGCAAACTCTAGTGCAGGACACTCCAAGCTAGAG